GATGACTTACTGTTTGATATAGCCATGCCAAGTCCTGCGAATCTTTCCTCATGCTATCTGATGCGCGCCACAAGCAACACTCGTATGCCCTACTATAGCTTTATTCACCGGAATAACATTCCAGTCTAATTGTGAACAGTTCATTGACTTTCTCCCCGTGTCTTAACTCTCAGTAAGAGAGCGTGTTCTTGTGTTAAGGGGATTTTTAATTACCCTGATTTTTAAATTTAGTGTCACCCTCTTACCTCCCCCACTGGTCGATCCGAACTCATACCTATGACTTGTAAACAGAACTAATTCACACAGAAGGAAAACTATTAACTGTTGTTTACAAAATAGTGTGTGGTTTCATCTTATGCCCTCATCTTTTTTTATGCTTAATTGTATTTTTTAGTCCCTCCTAGTCCTGTGATGTACAAGGACAGAATACGACACAACCAAAACTACATGATGGGTTACCGTTCAAATTTTGCATACGAGGCGCCCAACCAAGGATATTACAACCAACGCGGTGGCAATTACATGTGTCGCAATCACTATGGCGGCCAACGCATGCGGAACCAGTACCCCCATGAAAATGGCCCAAAGGTGCACTATGATAGTGACTATGACTTTGAGCAAGCGAACAAAGAATTCGAAGAAACGCTTAATAATCTTAAAGAAGAATTTGCCAAGACCAAAATAGGTAAACTGGTAGAATGGACTTTTGATATAATTGCACCACAACTTAATTCAATCTGTTATTTAGATGACGGGAAGACTGAAAAGGAAGAGAAGAAAAATGATGATTCAGGAACGGAAACGCAAGTCGGTGAAAGTGAAGAACACGAAGAGGAGAAGGCGTTTTACAACAAGGAAAAATCCTTCTTTGACAATATATCATGCGAAACACTAGAGAAAAATACAGGGTAAGTTTGTCGTTTGCCTCCGTCCGACTGACGTTAATTGCCTGTTCTAGGAAAGGCTCTCGTTCAAACTGGAAGAAGGAGCGAGAGGTCAATCAGCAAACGTTCGGTACTGCCGCTTTGCGTAGTTTCCAACAGCGCCGCTCCAACATGAGAATGCCCATCTCTGGTAGCAATTACCGACGCGGCGGATACTACAATCGCTATAATCCACGATTTCGGTTAGTGCGCTGTGTTTGATTTTATTTCTGTATTTTTTTGCAATCAGCAGTGCTTTTTGAACGTCTTTGTACAGTCCTCAATCAGCTTTCTCATATTTATTGTCATGCTTTTAGTTTTCTAACTTGTAGTTGTGCATCACGTTACTGTCATAAAACTGAATATAAAGGCATAAAGTTAAGTCAGGCATCTGCCTTTAATAACTTTAGAGTATAACGGTGAATATACATTACTACGATTTATCTCTAGATGCTACCCTTAGTTTAGAAATAATTGCTCGCATTTAGAGACTGCTCGTAGTATTAGAGCTAGAAAAATCCGTTACCATTTTTGACTGAACAGCTGGTTTATAATTAAAACTTTAATGCTGAACTGGCTCACGTTTGTAAATGTTCATTTTAAAAATGGATGTATATTAGAATGATATAATGGAATATATTAATAGTCGATTATCACTGCAGGTTCTATATAAATGAATATTAGATCATTCAGTGTTTGGCATATGATGTTACTATGAAATTACGTTATTGCGTCACTAGTGTTTTCTATAGATTACTGCAACGTCATTTTGGAATCCTTTCACTACGGAATGAAATTATGAATTTCCTTTCGGTATAAGTTTGTCGTACAGTTTTACTGTTCGCTTCTTACTCACTGAACATTATGACTTGGAATTATGTTGAGGTGCAATGTGCCATGTAGAATTCTTCATACATTTGTTATGTATATGTTTTTCTTGTGCAAATAATTAATAACACTTTTCTGCGCTCTCCCAGCTGACTGAAATTTTGAATGAAAAAATGCAGAACATTTGAAAATTGTTTATTTATAGCGCGTTTTGATGCCAAGCATTTGTTATCATGTTATCAAATCTCATGTGATTACTTAATTGGATGGATGTTTTTCCTTCACTCCACCCCTCCAGCGCTCGATTTGATCCAGTTTTTCATTGAATAAATTTTCCAGTGATGTCCACCCGTCATGTTGGCTGGTGAACCGATCGTTTTCTTCCAGTACTCTCATCACAAGCTTATAACTTCGCCGTTGCAAATACATGATTTATATATAGTCACGGCTTACATTGTTGTAATATTTAAGTTATTCCCTCTCAGCGTCATCATCAGGGCACCGAAATGTTATCTGTACTTAGTTGTTCTTAAGCGTAGGTCGAAAAATGCTTGGTAGCAAAATTTTTTCTCGTTTTAAGGAATAAATACTTCCTTTCAGAATGTCTGATACATTATTTTAAATTAATAAACATTGACATTATATGAGTTAACCTTCCTTGTCGGTTGCGTTCTTTTCGGGACAGCGAAACAAGTATTAGACTGTTTCTTCACTCTGAAGCAAAGTCGCTCTAGCACTTGAATAAGTCATTTAAGGTTTTCCCCAGCGTTTCCGGCTGATGGAACGACATTTTGTGAAAGTGAAGTTGATAAATATTTTGTCTCGCCTGAATATCAGTCATCTAGAACACTATAGTTCTAATCACTTGATATGTAGAAATATCGGCTCAAATGCGAAGGTATTCCCTGTCACTATGTTCAAAAGCTTTATGAACATCGTCATACTAGTAGTCATCTTAAATTTTTTAAAAAATGTATTAAGATGAAATAAATATCGTACAGATTTTCGTTAACTTGTGTGGTAGCAAAAGTTTATCGATTTTTCTACTCTCGGTGTTCAATAAATACTTAATCTATATTTCTTATAGATTGTAATCCCACCGGCATTCGTAGGCTGAAACGTTTGGTTTATTCTAAATCAGCTTGTCAATGACTTGGTATTAACAACAGTTCAACTTTGTTGTTGCTAATATGAACAGCTATATCATATGCACCACTCGCTGCCTGAATAATGGTTAGTAAGAGCAGCAGTTTACAACTTATATTTTGAATCTCGTTGTGAGATACATGAAGCTTTGTGTTTTGGATTATTTCGTATTCAGTTTCTGGAACTGTCGTTGCTACTAGGCTGCAGCTGGCCTTTTGTCGACTTCGTATTTAATTATTTGCACGTCGCTGAATTCCGTTCGGTTTGTGTTGCGTGATGGAACCTGGTCATCCTGTCTTATTGATCATTCATATAACAGATATGAGAGATTAAATGTTGATAAGCCGTTTTGTAAAGCGAGTGCACATGCCTCTTTGCAGTAAATGAAAATTTGGCCGCGCGTAATACTTTTTAATTTTTCAGTGATTATTGTAAAGTGATCATGAATAAATCTTTAATCGCATGTATCGGTTCAATTTGTTTTTGTTTTTCATTGCACTGGAATTTGCATAAATTTATACTTTCAATGCCTCTTTGTGTCATGGTGATGAGAATGAGTTACACTTTGGCAGTATTTTGCCGCTTCAAAATTAGTCTGATTCACAATTCCACCCCTAAAAACCCAAATTCCCGATTGACCCTGAGACAAAAGCTACCCTTTGCCTTAATCAGTACAACGCCTGTCGAGATTCCGCAGCACGTCTACAAATGATTGTACCTTATAATCACAACACATTGTGATTATAATCATTCAGACCTGGCATATTTAATTTGCCGCACAGTTGATTGTTTGTACAGTTGTACATGCACATGTTAATCGCACGATGATTGATCGAGGACAGTTGTTATAGTCGAGGCAGTAATACGAATGTAGTCAAAATTTCGTTGCAGCGGATTCCGAGTACGAATGGGAAGCCGAAGTTACTGCATCTGCGTAACTTGGTTGTCAAAGACAAGGAGATGGTAATGTGGAGGTGCGAACTCAGCCAGAAGAACAGATGTCGTGCCAAGCTGCACACATTGAATGAACGCATCGTTTTTTCAGTCAGGAGACAATAACGCTGCTGATTCTGTCAAAGCAGAAGTAGGGAAAATTATCTAGAACAAAAGGAACGCGCCATTGTGTCTCAAGATTCTACTTATAAAATTGTTGCCTTAAAGATGTAAAGCTGTCACAAGCAGTTGCCCGATAATTGCCATCAATCCATAGTATGGAGAACACGCGCCAGAGAGTCGAGTTGCCTCGGTCTAATCCAACCAGTGTACATAATTTGGTACTGCTTCAGGCTATCAGGATCAGGATTCCCTGCTTTAAAACAACGGACCCGATGACGATCTACGTTAATTTTTTTCTACTAAGAATTATTTGCGACTACTGTCGCAATCATCCAGCGAGTATATCGACTGAACATTTAAAATGATTCCTGGTTGTTTCAGAGGAAACACGATATATGGGATACCGCGCTCCAACGTCACATCGGTACATGCTTTGCTGCTGGACGGAGGCCAGTTATTTGTGAATCTCAGACGCTT